TTAAACTATTAATCAACAAGGTGAAATGAAACTGTGCACTGGGACAGTGCCTGTTTCTGGGGTACAAAGATATATATATATACCAGAACTTCTTTTCCTGGATGGACTCATAGGTTGAGTGGAGGACAGGAATGTAAATAATCAGAGAACATGTGATATGTCTAAGATGAGGTGTGTCTAAAATGTTGCCAAAACACAGAGTGAGTCATAGCTTTGGGGAGCCAGGGAACATTATAAAAAAATGATGCTGGAGTTGTTTCAAATGATGAGCAATAGTTCCATACATAAAAGAAAGATGGAAGGATATTCCAGAAAGAGGAAACAACGTTCACAAAGGTCTGCCATAGTGAATATTAAGACATGTTTAGGGAATGAAAAGCACTATGTATGACCTCATTAGATTTTTTTTTATGTTGTGTGAGGTGTCAAAGACTGAGGCTAGTTTTCCTTTTCAAAGATCGTCTTGTAGCCATTTTGAAAGTTACATGGAAGAAGAAAAAACAAGAAGCAAATAAAACAGTGAGGAAACTATTGTGCCAGTCAGTATAGGAGATCATGAAGACTTGAGATACAGCAGGGGCAGTGGGTATGGACAGTAGGGGATGTAGTTAAGAGCAATTATAAAGTGGAATAAACAGTGTATGGGATTATATGTTGGGGTAAGTAGAAGAAGGATCAAGGGTGATTCCCAGGTTTCTAGATTTTAAAATGTTGTGAATGAACTTAGAAGGAGAATATTTATAAAGGGAGATAATGAGTAATTTTGTCCACATTGAGTTATTTCAGCCAAAAAGCCAAAAGCCTAAAAACATACACATGTCTAGGCCACAGTGAAGCTTACCTAAAGGGCCAATTTGGTTTGAACACATCTCCAAATAAGGAGTGCCCTTTGAAAGAGTTTTAAACCTCATTGGAGAAATGAAAAATCTGCTGTATCTATCTCTGCGTTCAGACAATCTCAGTACTAATTCCTTCTTGAACCAATGGTGACTTTCCAAATCTAGAACCTTCTACATCAAAGAAGGAAGAATGTCAGGATTTAGATGCTTTGTTTTTTGGCTTGGTGACTAGGCTCTAAAAATCATATTGTTGAAAAAGAGCTATCGCCTAGTTTCATTATCAACTAGAACTTTTACCCCTCCCCCACTGCAGTCCCACTTCTCTTTGTAAGAAGCAAGAAAACAGGAGTAACAAAAGTTACAGTGCTCTTCGGTCTCTGGATTGAACCACATCAACTCATTTTCCAGCGGTTTAAGATGTTTGAACCAAGTCCAATTTCTGCCATACTTCTACTCATCTATGTGTCCATCAATCAACAGATTCATATTAAGTCAGGAATCTAGAAATACCAAGATGAATAAGCTAGAGGTTCCTCATTTAAGAAGCACACTTTCTGTCAAAAGATGATTGGGAGAGATGCAGCCATTAGGATTCAGTAATTCACATTCTTGTAGCGCCAGCTGGTCTATGTTCTCAGCTTTCCTAGTTCACTGCTTTTGTGACTACCTTCTAGGCCAGCATGAAGTCCCAGGGCTATCCAAATTTGGAGTACCTTGGTAAATTGTGTGATCAGAAAAATAGGTTTTCTGTTGTAGTGGAAAGAGTCTTTGTCTGGGGCTAGAGCTTCCTGGGTTCTTTGTCCCTCCAATGCCATCATTAGCTTTAGGTCTCCACATAGTTCCATTTCTCTCTGGGCTTCAGAATCTTCATCTAGAAAATAACAGTGTGGGACTAGATAATTCCTGGTAGTCTTTGTTGCTCTGACATTCTGAAAGTCTTCAATCCTACTTGAGTTTGGAATGGTATCTAGAGACCCCTTTGTAATGAGTGATGGGATCCAGAACTGGGACTCAGAAGTAGTCAGGTTGATCTGGACAGATATTTCCTCATGGGAAGGATTTTATAGTTATAATTGGCATGTGCACCACAGGTCTCAAAGCACTTTCATACCTATAATCTGATTATATATTCAGGAGAATCTGGTGAAGCATTTTCTCTCCCATCTTTCTATGAGGAAAATCCCAGAGTGCTAAATGATATATTAAATGCTAAATATTTTAGATTAGTTATCTCATTTAATTCACACACTAATCCTATAACTTTTCTGATTCTTATTATTCTTCTCTCTTCTCTTTTCTTTTTTTCCTTCTATTCTTCCTCTTATTTCTTTTTCCATTTCTCCTTATTCTTCATCTTTCTGTTTTATAAGCGAAGACTCTGAGGCTCATGAAAGTTAAGTAGCTTTCACCCCATTAGCATGTACTAGAGCTCAGAATTAACCCCAACCCCCTCTAAATCTAAAGTCTCTGATCACAAGCTTGATCAAAATCTTAAATGCCTACAGGAGCTGGAAGTTACAAAAACAAGTGAAATTATCCAAGTGGAAGGATTATTTCACTCCCTTTTAATTTCACCAGAGAAAAATAAAAACACAGGTAAATTAATAAAAGGAAGCTTACTTCTTGTACTGCATTGTGGATAAAGAAAGGAAAAAGATGGAAAATTACAGAACATCAAAGTCTATCACTTATCTATGAGGGGTAGGTGTTAATAAGGTTGAGGTCAAGTCAGCTCATCTATGCCAGATCTTTTGATTTTAGGAGAAAACTGGATGTCTATAATCTTTTAAAAATATGTTTCTAAATATTAATTATTACTTACAAAATTACGTAAGCAAAAGTTGTTTAGGCGAAAGATAAGAAGATAATCATCTCAACTGTGTCTGGCTCACAAGATGCCAGTTTATTATTTCTAGTCTACACTGGGCTGCTTGCCCTCTTGAAGGACTAGTCCATAGCATTAGCTGTGCACCTGCTGTGAAGCTATCAGGCTGTCCAGCCCGGGACTGGGATACCACAGGCAATCATCGATCCAGCTGTGTCTGCTGCTTGGTCAGCAGTTACTCTAAGTGGATGTTACATATTTTGAATGTCACACTTGACTGGAAGCTTTTGTGTAAAATAGTTGCCTTAATCCTTACAATAACTCAGCAAAGAAGACTTAATATAATATATCCATTTTTCAGATAATTAAAGTAATACTTACATCAGTTATGAAGGTCACACAACTATAAGTAGCCAAGTTGGAATGTTAAACTCAGGTCTAACCCAATGTTCTCTTCATTTTGTACCTTTGAGGTGATTTTAATCACTACTAGTTAGGAAGCTTTTCTTCTTTTATATCCATCTGGTGAGAATATCAGATAAGGAGGAAGGTAGAAGCCTGGAATCATGTTCAGGAGAAAAGATACCTTTGTCACCCCTCTCCATCCCCACCACCAGCTCTTCTTAGAGTGGACAAGAAATAGCATGAAAAAGGAGAAAGAAAACAAGAATCTTCTCCTCCATAGTCTAGAAGCTTCGGCACTGAAATGAAACACTCCCACACCCTGTAGGTGACTGCAAGGACAAGCACACAGGGAGGGGACCGACTCCTGGAATGCCAACCTGGGTGATGAGCCAGGCAAATACCAACCAATTGTCTCATGGTCTGAGCCAGACCCAGAGCCCTTTATATAAACACAGGCCTCTGTCCAGTTGCCTCAGCCTGAATGACTGCTTGCCTTGAGGAAGGTGAGTAGGGACTGGGTCCTGGGATTGGGGTCGAGATGATGCTCAGGGGGTGCTCAGATTCACAGGGGTGAGACAGTGAGGGAAGTTGGGGGCAGAAAATGAGCAGCACATCAACTTGAGGAGAAAGGTCCGGTGGATTTTTAGGAGACATGAGAAAAATCTCTGTGGAGACTGTGAGGAGAAATGGGGCACTGAAGTCAGTGTATTTGCCTTCAATAACCCTGGCTTCATCCTCAGGTACCATTTTTCCTCTGTGAGCAGTCAAGTGTAGGACCTTACCCAAGGACATACATATTTAGATAGTCCCTATAAATGGAGAATGGAAGGCTTTGCCCTACCTGAGGAGTATTTTCAGTATTTCAGGAGCTAATTGAGAAGTGTTTGGCTGGGGGATTTGATTATCAAACTAGCTTCCTTGCTGTGCTGGTCACTGGGCTGCCTGTATGTGAACAGGTGGATTTGGGGAGGGTAGAGGGAGCAGCCCTCTATTTCTCCCAGGCTGGGTGTGGTGTTGCATTATGCTCCACATCATGTTTGTAATGCTCCTATGACATGGTCTTTATGTGCGGCTGAGTGTCAGTCTTGGAACTAGGAATCTGGCACTCTTTGGGTTACCCATCTTAATTAAATCTCCCCTGCCTCTCAGAGGAGCTGGAGGGAAAACTTTTCTGAAGCTAGCAGATGACCAAGAACAGCAACCCACCAGAGCGAGCTGTCATGCTGGTCCTGAGCCTTCGAAGTCTGGTATTTTGTGTGTGCCCATGAGGGCCTGTTTAAACAAATTCACCTAAAATAGATTGACTATGGAGAAAAAAAACATTTCATATTGGGTTTGAGCCACCCGATAACTAATTGAATTCTTTACTTCCAGTGGATGCTTTGAGAGCACATGGTGCCTGAGAGCTTGCTGCCATATAAATGCATATATATGCATGTTTTTCATTTTTGCATGGTGAATGTATGCAAGGAAATTCAAGCCCCTGTGATTGTGAGTCCCCACTTTGGACTACAGTCTTGGGAGCATGGGTTATCTCCACTTCTGTAGAGCTCCCTCACACCACTTAGGACCCTTGAAAGTGATGGAAATTCTCTCACCATCACCACCCTCTTGTGCTGGACACTGGTATGTCCACCCTCCAGGGAAAGAGCCTGGACACCAGCAGCCCTAGCTGTTCCCTTGAAGCGATCTCAGATCAGAACTTCAGACAGGTCTCTGGGCACATCCAAGGCAGGTCACCTGGGCAATAGTGACTAATCTTGGGTCCAGATAACTAAGTATTCTCCAATGTAGGTCAGAGGTGGGGAAGGAAAGGAAAGGCCGGGAAGAAGCAGAGTATCTTCTTGGTCCTGGCCCCTCCTATCTACTCTCATCCTCCTAAAGCTGGTCTCTCATCCCTCAGGTCCTGTTCACACGTCTGCATTGGAACCATGTGTGACCAGCAGCAGATTCAGTATTGCCTGCCAGTCCCCCAGTGCTGTGTGAAGGGTTCCTCCTTTAGCCCTTCCCCATACCTCTGTCCCCAGGGCCAGGTGGTGGTTCAAGCCCCTTCTGGAATGCAAATCGTGGAGTGCCCTGCACCGTGCCCTGCACCATGCCCAGTTCAAGTTTCCCAGGTGAAGTGCCAGGCTCCATGCCAGTCTAAGACCACCAAGGTGAAGTGCCAGGCTCCATGTCAGCCCCAGACCACGGAGGTAAAGTGCCAGGCTCCCTGTCAGCCTGAGGTTTGCTATGTGCAGTGTGGAGCCTCAGGCCCTGTTCAGACCTGCTATATGGATTGTTCTCCAGTTTGTTACACAGAAACTCGCTATGTGGAATGCCCGGTCCAAACCTTTGTACCCTATCCAGCTCCCCAGCCTGTCCAGACTTATGTAGCGTGTCCCCCAGCATGCCATACTCAGGGAAGATTCTCCGCCCAGGGAGGATTCTCCACCCAGGGAGGATTCTCCACCCGAGGCCAGTATCAAGGCTCTGTCAGCAACTGTGCTCCTCAGCGTCAGTCTCGGGCTTCCTGTCGCACTTACGCACCCCAATGCCAGACCCAGGGCTCTCCTGGGAGCTTCCCTGTGCAGCGGCGCTGTCGAAGCACCAGCAGATGTCTCCCTCCTCGCCAGCTGCAGCCTTCTTACCGCAGCTGTTCACCACCACGGCGTTTTGAATCCTACCACCACAGCTGCATGCCATCAGGATGCGCTTCGGGTTCCTATAACTATTGCACCCCACCCCGCCGATCTGAGCCCATCTATAATAGTGGATGTCCTCGGGGTCCCACTTCAAGTAGCTCTCAGAGATGTGGACCCAAGTACCGAGTAGAGATTTCCTCTCCTTGCTGCCCCAAGCAGGTCCCTCCCCAGAGGTGTCCTGTTCAGATTCCTCCCATCAGACGCTGCACTGAGAGTTGTGCTCCAAGACCCTCCTGGGGTGCCTCCTGCCCAGACCTGAGACCACATGCAGAACCACGTCCACTCCCAAGCTTCTGTCCACCCAGGAGTTTTGACCAATGTCCAGAGCCATCACTGCCACGACGTCCACTTCCTGCACCACGTCCATACCCACGCCCAGAAAGATGGGCAAGTCCAGAACGATGTGCAAGTCCAGAGCGCCACCCATGTTCACCACGGCGACTTTCAGAACCCTGTCTGTTTCCGGAACCAAGTCCAGCGCCATGTCCAGCCCCACGTCCAGCCCCACGTTCAGCCCCACGGCCTCACCCAGAGCCACGTCCACAGCCCTGTGAGCACCCAGAACCTTGTCGAGAGCCAATTCCTCTTCCAGCACCCTGCCCAAGCCCAGAGCCATATGTGCAGCCTCGGAGCTGTCTCAGCCCAAGCTTAGGCCCAAATTCAATGCCATGTTCAGGATATCTAGGCTGTCTTGAGTCCCACCCAGGCCGCCTGGACACCGAGGGACCCAGCTGCGGCCCAGCTGGTTATAACCAGTGTGGAGAGAGTGGTGCCAGCTATGGACCTTGTGATGTGTTTCCAGAGCCTCGGGGTCTGTGTGGTTATGGAGACCAAAGTGGAGCCTCTATTGGAGCAAAAGGTGGGGCCCCTGCTGGAGCTAAAGGTGGGGCCTCTGTTGGATCAAAAGGTGCCTATTTTTAAAGGAAGCATGGCTGAAACATCTCTGCTTCTGCCATGAAAATGTTGCCCCACCTTTCCCAGCAGTCACAGTTTCTGCGTTCTTGTTTGCAATGTTCCAAACACAGCCAGGGGCTCCCTTCTTCAGAGGTGATGTCCAAACTCCTTTGCATGTCATCACAGGACCCGCACCTGAGTCTCAGACACGTCTGCAGCCTCACATCTGGCTCCTCTCCAGTACACACCCTCAGTTCTCATCAGACCAGTCTCACCACCAGGGCACATCTTGGGCGTTCCCCAGGACATACCTTCCATATCCCTGCCTCCAAGGCTCTGTTTATTCCCCAGCCCCCATTTCTGGGCCACTTCTTTGCTACTCCCAGCATCTGAAATCCAATCCATCTTTCAAGACCTCTTCTGTAGCCTTTTCTGCTTGTTCCTACTCATAGAAGCCTGCATTGACTACCTAGAACTCACTGCATCATCTATACCATCCATTTGGCAAGTGCCTTACAACATCTCTTGAACTATTTCACTTCTCAGATGTGTCTGTCTTACCTGCTAAACTAGGTTGTACACTCCCATTTGAGTAGAGTCAGAATATCCCTGAAGTCCCTTGCTTCTCCTGGGGTTGGTAGCTACTTAGCAAGCCTAATGGGTTAGCAGCTTGGGCCATGATCGACTGATGGGCAACCCCAAGACCAGGACAAGAGGAGGCCATGTAACAATAAAGATGATGCTACACTCAGAACCTGCGTGCTATGTAAAGCCTGTTTGTTATTCCTTCCTGTCTGGGATAAGCTTTTACTTTTTCTTTATTACTTTTTTCTTGAGTTTATTGTACCCACAACTAAACTTTCTTTAGACTAGACCATATAAGCTTCTTTGTGGTTTTTCTGTCTCCCCTCGGGATTTCTGGCCCCTGCAGGGAAAGGATTAATGAAAAAGCACAAGGATTCTATAGAACTTGAGACACATGGTCATAAACTAAAGGGGGGGTAATGGTGGGGATGGGGGGTAGGGTGGAGGGGAATGAAGGGGGGGAATAGAACAACTGTAACAGCATAATCAATAAAAAAATTTTTTTTAAAAATTGGAAAAAAAAAAGCACAAGGAATGAGGAAGCAGGGAAAAGAACTCTCGCTCCTCAGTCTAGCAATGAAGGTTCCCAGGCCTGTGGTGGTCAGGTCCCGAAGCTCTGGGGCCATAGTCACTGCTGTGTGATCTTTTTGTGGAATCAGGGGAGGAGAGAAGGGATCCCTTTCAGGCTCTCTTGGATGCTCTGCACAGGACACACTTTTCTTTCTTTCAGAATAAACTATTTGCATTTTCTTTGGGGGACATACTAGAAAAGGAAGTATCTGAGGTTGACTCTGTTCCCAAATCCCATTAGGCATGCTGGTTTTAGCAGCATGAAGGTGAGGCTTGGAGGGGCAGGAGAACCTGGGGTGTTTCTTCCTTCCATTCCTTGCAGATGAGAGAAGTGCTGGCTGGAACAGTGTTCCTGAGGAGAGCCCTTCTCTAAAGTGCCTGAGGCCACCAGGATGAAAGAGAGGCAGTTTGGTCTGGGACTTGATCCAGGGCCCTTCTCCTTAAAGTCCATAACCTCAGATGGCCCAATAGCTCCAGCACCATAGTTTGGCACCACAGATCCAGGCCCTGGCTCTGAATATGTCTTTCCCTCACCCAAGGGATCTAGTTCTTGCAATATCAGTGGTGGAGAACCTGAGAGACCACCTGGTAAAACCCTGTATTGTATAAAGAAAAACTGAGACTCTTCATGTGAAATTCATTCATTCCTTCATTTATCGACAAATATTCACTGCTTACTTGTTAGGAAGGACTGGTAAAAGGGACAGACAGAACTCCTATTTGCTCTCAGAGAGCTTGCAGCCTTGCATACTGGTTCTCAAAGTGTGGCACCTGGGCCAGCAGCATCAGCATCACCCAGGGCCTTGTAACACATACAAATGCATCACCCCACACCTACTGATATAGAGACTTTGGGAGTGGGACTCAGCTGTTTTAACCTGACCTCCAAGTACTTCTGATGCTCAGTAATGTGTGGTTGTTCCTAATTTAGTAAAATACCTTAAACAGGTAGAATATGAACATATGTGTATGTGCATCTATCTATCTATCTATACATATACACACACACACACAGTTGACTCTTGAACAGCGTGGAAGTTGGGGTGTTGACCCATGTGTGACTGAAATCTGAGTACAGTTTTTGACTCATCTCTAAATTTAACTATTAATAGCATCCTATTGATCAGAAGCCTTACCAATAACATAAATGGTCAACACATTTTTATAATATACTGCATTCTTACAATAAAGTAAGCTAAAAAGAGTTAAGAAAACCATACAGAAGAGATATATTTACAGTATTGAAAAAAATCCACAATTTGGTGGAACTCCACCATTTAAACCAATGTTGTTTAAGGGTCAACTGTATAAATAAAAAAAAAGAACAATGCACATATAGACGAGGTCTGTCTGGAAAAAGTCCAGCCATTGTTAATATAATGAGAATGGTTTGTATGCCATTGGTGCAACCTGGAAGCCAAGGAGAGTGGACTGGAATGCAAATGTGTGAATGATGACAACTTAACTGTACTAATCAGTGGGGACAGTACACACCACTGAGTGAGCATGTGTACTGTGTGGTCATCGCCTTCCTAATGAGTGAGTGAGTAGAGCAACCAATCTATATCAAATTTTGCATTAAGCTTGAACATTCCTCTGTGAAAACTACTGGGATGATTCAGAAGGCCACAGATATGGGCAACTGATAATCGGCAGCTTCATCACGATGATGTGCCCACTCATGCATCTCATCTCATGCAGAGGTTTCTGGTGAAACATCAAATCACCCAGGTGACTCAGCCCCCTCTACAGCCCAGATTTGATGCCTTGTAACTTCTGGATTTTCCCAAAATTAAAATCACCCTTGAAAGAGAAGAGATTTTAGATTATCAATGAGATTCAGGAAAATATGATGGGGCAGCTGATGGAACTGTGTGAGGTCCCAAGGTGTCTACTTTGAAGGGGACTGAGGCATCATTGTCCTATGTACAATGATTCTTGTGTCTTGCATTTTGTATCTTGCCATTTGGCACAGTTGGAAACCTAAGCACACAGGTATGTGTGACTTGCCAAAGCCATACAGCCAAACTTGATTCTACTACACATGGCACCTTTCAACTTGGTCACAGTTCCTGATTTTTCCAGAGATCTTCCCTGCATCAATCCAGTCATTTTTCTACAATTTTGGAGTTATTTATTGAACAGGTTATTTTTGCCAGTTCTACGTTTGCTTCCTCTCTTAGAATCCTGGTTGCTTTGGGAACTGTACCTTCCCAGTGTTACATGGCTCCAGGGTCTTGGCAGAATCCAAATGACTCCCACGGAACATTTCTGTGTTTTCATCATCCAGAGCCCTAGGTGGTTATGGAGAGAGCAAGATGGCAAGAAGCTTGGAAGCCCCAGATTGTCATTAGATGTAACTTCTATTTTCTTAAACACATCCCTGGACAAAGGTCCCTTTGTCTGTAGGGTGAGCAGGAAGAAGTCCATTCCCTCAGGGTACAGAAGAAACTCAGACCTGGCTGTGAGAAGTTAGTCACACATAAGAGCCATTTCTCCACCCTCTTTCCCATCCCCCCCCCACCCTGGGGCAGGGAACATATTGGAACATTACATTATCATATTGTAATTATCCCATTACCTGCACTTCCCTCTGGAAATAAACTCTGGTCCCAAGGATAACTAGGTCTGGAAAGGGGTTGAATGATGGGAGAATAGAGCAGTCTCTGGGTGAGTCAAGCTGGGGCTAAGTCAGAGAAACCCAGGTGGCCTGGTGCTCCCTCACAGGCCAGGGCTATGCAGAAGCCAGCCTCAATGCCATCTCTGAGGCCAGAGGAGCTCAAGGTCTACACTTCTGTCTCCTGGAGATAGTCTGAATTGACCTCAAAACTCCTCTACTTCCTCTGGCCAGCCTCAGGCCTCCAGGCAGGCCCACAGTGAAAAGTTCTAGCCTATCTATAGCAGTTCAGAGGAAACAGTTACCCAGGAGTGTATATGTGTCTGCATGTCCTTCTGTGGGATTTGCATGCTTCGTGTGTGCCTATGTGTCTGCCATTTCTCTCTGCATGCTTTAAAAGCTTGGGTTTTTTTAAATGCATTTGGCAATGGGGACTGTGACCTCAGGACCATGGTTTAGGATATCCTGCAGTCCTTCAACATTGGCTTTGAATGACCCTTCCCAGTCATCCCTCCCATTCCTTATCCTCCAGCCTTTCAATAATTACCAGCTCCAGCTCTGCGCCTTTGGATTCTATGTCAACCATTTGAACAAAAATTAAAGAATCTCTAGGGCCAGGGCTGAGAATCTAAAAATAAATTTTAAAAAAGACAATTTATTAAGTTCTTTGAAGGTGATCAAAGATCTATGAGAGAAATTCCTGTTTGAATCTCAAACTAATCTGAAGCAATACACCTGTTGCATAGTTTTGTTCCACTTCACAGTTTGATAGAGTATTGCCCAGAAAACGCCAATGCATCAGTGAAGTCACAGAGTGTAAGGCAGAGTTGGCCACACTCCTATGCCTGACATCCTTCAGGCTGCCTGAAAGGGGGCCTGGCTTCTAAAGATGAGGGACCAAGTCCAAATGAATGTAAGAGAGATTGGAATCATGTTTACCACCTTGGAATCCTGTTTATACCTCTTTGCTTTCTCTATTTTTTCCCTCTTTCTAAACTGGTCACCCTGGGATTGGCATCCTCATTGTAGAATGAGGGAATTGCTCTAGATGTTCTAAGAGGTTCCTTCTAGACCAGGTGAGCTAATCTCTCTTTGATTGTGGGCACTAGGCTAGGGTAAAATTACCTGGGAACCCACTTAAAGACACAAAATCCCACAAGTCATCCCAGAGCTACTTAATTTGAATTTCTGAAGAGAGAACCAGAAATCCATTTGAAAATTATTCTGATCAGCTGGAGATAGAAACTATTGCTGT